CCTCGGTCCCGGCGTGACCCCCGCCCACCACCACCACGTCGAAGTGCGCGGAGCCGGGCGCCGCGTGGTCGCTGCTGAGCCGCGCCGACCGAAAGCGCTGTCTGCTGAGGGACGCCGCGAGCCCGAGGCCACGGCCTCGCAGGGGGAACATGCTGGTGGAAGTCCAGGGCCTGCCTAAGGGATAGTAAAAACCCCGCAGGACGCAGCCATTTTGTCCGACGTCACGCGCAGCACGTTTGCGTCTAGCGTCGCCGCTGATTGGCGGCGCGGCGCAATTTTCCGGTCTCGGGCGTCAGGGGACTGGTTCTGCGACCCCGCCTGAGAGTCTCCGGCCGCCCGTCTGTGCCTCTAGGCCCCGCCCCCCGCCACACCCCGCCCCGCGCCCCGCCCCCCGGGCTGCGGACTGTTCAGGGGCCTGCAGACAAAATGCATTTGACCGCTTTCCCTGTCAGGTTGAGATTTTGGTCCTTTATCACCTTCACTTTAGGTTGTCTACAAAAACTAGAGTTTAAAACTATGAGGAGATGCGAGCGGAATGCAGCTCTGTTGGTGGGCGATGCACTGGTGCTGGCTGCTGAGTAGAATTGGACGGTTGGAGATGAAATGTCCAGCCATTCAGGGTGGGCACCCTGAAAGCCGTCCTCAGAAGGGGAATTTGACTAGATAGCGAAGCAACCTTTTGGCAGTTTTAATGTTTTGATTAGAAGTGTCAGTTTTGTTGTTTACTAATAATAGACGTTATACACAATTTTTTTTTTCTTTTTGAGACAGGGTCTCGCTCTGCAGTTGAGGCTGGCCTGAAGCTGACTTAGCCCTGGCTGGTCTCAAATTCAAAACGATCCTCCTGCTTCAGCCTCCCGAGTGCTGGGATTACAGGCATGCGCCACCACGCCCGGCTATTTTTTTTTTTTTTAATTTTAAAGAAAATAGTTTTGTGGGTTTTTGTTGTTGTTGTTTGTTTTTGTTTTTTTGTTTTTTTTTCCGGTACCGGGAATCAAACTCACGACCTTGCGCTTGCCAGGCAGACACTGTGCCGCCTAACTAAATCCCCAGCCCCTAGAGAAAATAGTAAATGAGAGAGAGAGACAAAAAAAAA